TTCCTTACCACCCAGTGTCTGTTACCTTCTATCTGAAATGCTTTTCCCTTTCTTTAACACTCACTCAGCACACTGTACCAGAACACTTTCCATGACTCTTTCACTTAGCTGTCCTTCCACAGCACATACTGGAACAATGATATGTTGGAGCAAATATGCTAGAAAGTGCTTTAAAAGTTTTCAGTGTCTTCTACTACATGGAGAGAAAGCCAAATTGCTGATGCTACCTCATTACCCTGGCTAACACATGGAAGTGGTTCTTAAATGATGATTTATTTGAGGGGGGGAAAAAAGGCAGAAAAGGAAACAAAGAAAGAGAAAGGAGGAAAAGAAGTAGTATGCAAGCATATCCACAACTAAAAAGAGGCCACTAATAACCATGCAGTGTGTTTACAAGGTCCAAGCCAGTACTCACTGACAGACAATGACACATGGAAAAGTCCAGACAGCATCTAAATCACTCATTCCCTAAACATTCTAATGTCTAGGACACACACAGCCTACCTCACTCCACAGCTTACTGTGGTATATTAAAAATGTTGGTAACATGCACAGTATAAAAAAACAGAAACATGTTAGTTCCAAAAAAAAAAAGTAGGACTCAATATAACATAATTAGCTGCAATTTTCATAGCCTATCTCCTAATGTATCATATTGATGCTGAAAGGTCTACCAACCAAAATTATGAAAAACAACAGAAGGGCTATAAAGATGGTCAGCAGTTAAATGTCCTTACCATAAGGCCTTATGACTCATATAGTATGAGTCTAATCCTAGGGACGCATTTGGTGGAAAGAGACAAATGAACTTGCATAAATGAGGTCCTCTGACCTCATGAGAGTGTGCACACACACGAATAAATAAAAGTTAATATACTTGTCAAAAAGAAAAAACAAAAGGACACCAACAACTTTACCTGATAGCCCTGTCTATAGCAACAGTAACACCAATCCTAAAGCAGGCTACTTTTATGTGACAAGTCACTGTTCTCACAAACAAATTGCAAAAATAATCTCTAGAGCATTAGTCATGACCAGGCTTTGTGTAAATTAATTTTGAACAAATTTAAAAGCTTGTTTCAACATTTAGGAGGCAGAGGCAGGTGGATCTCTGTGAGTTCAAGGCCATCCTGGTCTACAGGGTAAATTCCAGGACAGCTAGGACTGTTACACAAAGAAACCTTGTCTCGAAATCAACCCCCCCCCCAAAAAAAGCTTGCTTCAAAGAAGATATGTTTGGCAAGATTCAACAAACAGCATAAAATCACTCTATTTCTCAAATGTTATTCACACATGTACAGACATACCAAGTACATGAGACCTTTTTTTTTCACACATAAAACTAGACCCAATATATTCAACACTAAATACCTTTTCTTCATTTTATTTTGCTTCTTTGATAATTGCACTCTGTAGCCCAGGCTGGCCTCAAACTCACAAAGATCTGCCTGTCTCTGCCACCTATGTGCTGTAATTAAAGGTGTATGCCATCTTTTTTTAAAGGCTTTATCTTTATTACTTTTATTATGTGTATGGCTATGTAAATGAATGTTTCATGTATCTAGGTGTCAGTGGAGCCCAGAAGTGAGTGTTAGATCCCTCCCTAGGAACTATAGCTACAAGGTGGATGCAAAACATACGTGCTGGGTACTCAACTCCCATGTGGAAGGGCTGCAGGCTCCTAACCACGGAGCCATCACTCAGGCACTCAGGAGGAATTTATCTTTACACATAGAAAATTAAATTGCAAAGACTTTAATACTAGCAATTAGTAACAGAGTGCCCAAAATTTCCTAAACTAAAAAACAGAAAGTTCTTTATAAAGTTGGAAATTTGTTTTAACAACTTTTTAAACATTACTAATAACAAATACCTTTATTTTAAAAGGAGTAACACACACAGCATTTGTCTAATACCATAAAACTCTTAAGGGCTAAAGTTTCCAGCATACTTTCTATTTGTTGATTGCTTGTTGGAGACAGAGTTTCATGTGGCCTTGGCTGGCTTCCAACTCAATATGTAGGCTAGGCTAGCTTCTAGCTCACTGTTTATCCCAGGCTGGCCTTGAACTACTGAATCCTCCTTCCACTGCTGGATTAACATGCATGCACTGGCACACCTGGCTTTTCTTTTCCTTTCTTTTCTTTCTTTTAAACAGGCAAGTTTTTTAAACAGGAAAAGAAAGGGAAAAAAAATCTAATCTTCAATTTAGTATAACCCTTTCAGAAAAACATTTACATTCTAAGATATGTCAAGCAGGCTTTACAATGGGAACTGTGATAGATTACAACATTCCAAAAATGTATTCATCTTCCAAATATATTAAACATGTATCAGTCAACTTAAAATTTCTTCCCAACCACTGGTTATGTTTTCATTCACATGAAAGACAGAGACTCAGTAAATAAAACCCAAGTCATCTACAGAGCCCTAAACTCAAAAAAAAAAAGAAAACAAACAAACAAACAAAAAAAAAGCCATTTAAAAATGGGCTAATGCTTTGTACAATAGGCAAATACCTAAGTGGCAAGAGCATTTGCATTCTTCAACTTTTGAAACTGTACCTGCATGCAGTCCCACAAAAGCAATCCTCACTCTGGAAACAAGTGAAATTAATTTTAAAACAAGAAGAAAAAAATCCAAAAGAACTGTCAAAAGTAGATGCCATTTACATTCTGACACGTTATCAGTTACATTTCACTCCCGTAAACACACACTACTACCATTTTCAAGCACATCCGAATTTGTATAGATTTAAAGGAAAAAATATTATAGTATCAAAATTCCACCTGTTAAATCTAGACAGATATCCAAAGCTTTTCAAACCAGAGTAATTTAAAAAAAAGAAACTTTACAATTTCCTAAAATGACTAAATTTTATTGCTACGATTTATTCCACCAATTAGCAAACAACTACTTAAGACACATTTATTTCTTAGAAGCTATTCTGCGGTCAACATGTTTACTTCAGAGGAACCTGTCCATCAGTTTTCCACACAACACATCATAGCAGACAGAGCACGTGACAACTCCAAGACCCAGTACATCAACATAAAGAAAAATAACCATACAACCCTAAGTCCCTGGAAATACAAGGTGCGACAGGCCAAATAGGATCTCAAGGGTAAAGAGCAACAAACTGCTTTAAACATCTTCAAAATTAACTTTTGCTTTCTGCTTAAAATTCACGGCTCTGAGATACAATCAAATGAAATTTTCTTTCATCGGTGTTAACAGACAGACCCACACTGTACTGTTTCAAGAGTCAGGCTACTAGACCAGCTTTGTTTTCCGAATTAAGACGCTTTAATTCGTGCAGTTGTTCCTAAGGTTCCATGCAAAAGGCGCTGTTCTATTCCGGAGCTGCACAGCATTGGTAAGATAGTCTCCTAACTGACTCCACAACTCCACGACACAGCCCGTGGATGTTCGCACCAGCTGACCCTCTGTCTCCAGGGAAAGCTCCGCACCGAGCCACTCCACACACCTGCCTCTGCAAAACTCGCAGGCCCGCCACAGTCACGGCCCCTACACTTCCTGAATTCGAAAGCCACTCAAGCTGGCTGAGTGACGCCTTACCTTCATGGTGACTCTGGGGCCGCGATCCCCACGGCGACACCAGCTTCACCTGCACCTGGAGGGGAAACAAAGACACCCGGTCAGTACACCGGCACCCCCTGCGCCGTCGGGGCGGGGGCGGCACCGAGTGGGGCCAGGAGCCCGATCAGGCACGCGCCATCCCGGAGCCCCTACCGCCCCCACCTCCCTCCCCTTGCCGCCCCATTGTCGCGACTCCACGGACTTTTTCTCCGTCCTCCACGATGACGCCATTTCTGTCAGAAGAAAACTCACAACAAACCCGGGGTCCAGCGCGGCCTGGAGCGCGGCTGCAGCCGTCCAAGCCCACGGAACCGCGATGCCCAGAGCCCCGGGATGAGTCCTGAGTGAACCGGCGAGCCCTTGGGCTGCGGCGGCTCGACCCCATAGAGCCGGTCCGCGTCCCGCCCGAGCCCAGGCCCACAAGTGGGAGCCGGGGCCGGGCACGGGCACCGAGGACACCCAGCTCCCAGCCCCACCGGCCGAGGCCGCGGGGCCCACGATGCGGCCAGGGAAGGGCGGCTCCGGCTCAGCACCGCGGGGGGCGGGGGTCCCGGGAGGCCGAGGCCCCGTTGCGAGCGCCGACTCAGCCCCGTTGCCCGGCCCGGCCCGGAGCTTCCCCCACGAAAAATAATGCCCCTACCTCCGGCGCAGACGAGGTCTGAGCCGTGCGGCCAGAGTCCCCCGCTCCGCCTCCCCCCCCAACACCAGCAGGCCCGGGGGAGAGATGGCGAAGAAGCTGCGGGTCCGCCGGCGGCCGGGGCTCCAGCTCCTCCTCCTCCCGTGGCGGCGACTGGTACCTTTGTTTGGCGGCCGCTCCGGCTCCCTCGCGGGGGGAGGGGGCGACGAAAAATCCCTCCCAGACGGAGGTCCGGGCCCCGGTCTCGCTGCCCTCCGAGGACCGCGGCGGCCGACCTTCTGCGGCTCTCTCCGGGCAGGCGTCCAGGCGGTGGCCGTGGCGGCGGCAAGCTGTGGCTCGAGACTCTCCCTCCGCTCCGGCGCCTGTGCTCCTCACTCCGGACTCGACTGACGGGCAAACATCTCTTCCCCCCACCCCGGCCCCCCCTTTCCCTTCTCCCCTCCCCTCGGTTCTTTTCCCCTCCCCTGCCTCTTTCCCGGATGCCGATCAGACGATCTAGGATTGGCCAGGATTCTTCGGAGCCCGCCTCTCTGCAGTTTTTATTGGTTTGAGCGATGCAAACAACGACGCCATTTTCCCACCAGTTCTATGGAAACAGAAAGTTATGCCTCAATGCTTCCTGGGATTTGTAGTCCACTCTTCCAGGCCAATTGGCAAACTCTCGGACATAAGACCTACCAAGACCACAATGCGCCTCGCCTGAGTTCTACGGGAGAGGGGAGGGGAAGGGGGCGCGGCCATAAGACAGAGGGGAGGTGGCATACGACGCCTGCGCAGTGTGACAGGGATGGCGTATTTTCTTGCACCGAGTAATGCGGCGTCGCTGGCCGCTGAGGAGGGCGGAGATTTCTGTGGTGAAGTAGGGGGCGGGCTCCAAGGAGGTCTCGCGAAGAGCCGCGGTCTGAACTAAAAAGTGAGAAGTTGATGTGGGTACTTCTAGTCTCGGACCGGCGTCTTGAAGTCTGAGATCATTGTGGAACCGTGAGCAGCGGTGGTGCGGCGGCGGGAGGGGAGGGGGACCCGGATGGGGAGTGGGGGAGGGGGATACCGAGGAGGAGGAGGAAGAAAGGAGGGAGAGGACCCGGATGCTGACCCGGCTCGGGGTGACTAGCAACCTGGTGGTGGGACGTGGGGGAAGTCAGACGAGCTCCGGGGAAAGGAAGGGGGTACCGATGTAGCTCAGGGGAGAAGCCCGCCTTATTACACCACTGCCCATGTCGAGCCCTTTTCCCTCAGAAGCATCATTCTCCAGGCTTAGAGTGAGAGGGTCTTGCTGTGCGCGTCACAGCGGCGTTTCTTGGTGGCCCATATATGATTAGCTAGTTTCAAGCCAGAGCCTGCCTATTTAAAGAGAGAGAGAGAGAGAGAAAGATACTCTGCATGGAACTTTCAGTATTTGCTTTGTGCTGATGCATAGGTTTTATCCTCTGAGATATTAGGAGAAGCTCAGTCCTCATGGAAAGACAGGTTGGACCTTGTACAACTTCCTGAACGCGGCTGCTCAGACAAAGTGATAGATGTGAATTAGAACTTTGGCTCAGGGAAGTATAGAGAGGTTTTCCTGAAGGAGTGAGGATAGAACTTGGCTCCAGAAGCCAGCAAGAGAAGATCCTAAAGAGAAGGAGAGCCCAGAAAGAACATGCTGGAAACCCGTTTCAGCAGAGAGCTTCTCGGTATGATGAACTGAAGCACAGAGAGGTGAGGAAAGTTGATTAAGGAATTTTGATACAGCATCCTGGTGACTGAAGCAGGAGGATTACTGTGTATTGTAGGCCAGCCTAGACTACACAGGATGACCCTGTCACAAGAAAGAAAAAAAAAAAATTAAAACAGGTTTAATCTGCTCTAATGGCCCAGTGAACAGTAGGATATGTTGGATTCCCAATTTGAATTGCTAAAATGATAACTCCCCCAAAAGTATTGGAAGAGTTTAGCATTGTGGTGCTGACACATTCCAAGGCCAGCTTGATATACTTAATGCATTTCAGGTTAGCCTGAGCCAGACAGATCCTGTCTCAAGAAAAAGAAAAGTAATGATGGGAAATCAAAGAGGCAGCTGCAATAGTATTTCAACAGGGAAAATGATCTGCTTGCATAAATATTCACAATCCACTCTTCGAACAAATTTCCAACAGCTTTTCAATTTTGAAAGTGAGAAAATGATAACAGATCACACTGAGGCATTCTGTAGAGATTCCATATAAGATTATCTGAGTTTGTGCCACTCAACACTTACAAGTATAGTACATGAAAAGCTGAGAATTCTACCCATGACAATTGACGGTCCTTAGTTTAAAAAAGAAAAGAAAGTTAAAAGAATATGGAACTCACCCAGGCAGTGGTGAGGAACACCTTTAATCCCAGCACTGGAGAGGCAGAGGCAGGTGGATCTCTGTGAGTTCAAGACCAGCCGGGTCTATAAGAGCTAGTTCCAGGACAGACTCCAAAGTCACAGAGAAACCCTGTCTCAAAAAACCATGTATAAATATTCTCTGGAAAGGGGACATTAATTGATTTACATGAGTACTGTCAAACTGTGAGGGAGCAAAGGAAATACTTTTCTTAATTTATCATTAGTAGAGAAGTATTAAAGATTAAATAAAAATCTTCTGTATTTCAGGTGCAGATCTCTGAGTTTGAGGCCAGCCTAGTCTACAGAGTAAAATCCAGGAAAGCCAGGGCTCTGAGGATGTGGGGGGAACAACATGGCACTTCAGTGTTTAAAGGATGTGTCACTCTTAATTTCTGTGCAGAAGGTACCTGCTGTTGACCCAGAGGCAAATTCTTGGTGACTGCATTGTTATTTTAAGTTAGGTAAAATCTGTTTTCCAGAATGCAAACAAGATAGCAGCATGATTTTTGCTACTGCCCTAATTGAGAACAAATGACTACTAGCTGGTTTAAAAAGAGAGTGTATTAAAAGATGGTTTGGGGTAGATCATGAGCAAATGCAAGGCTTTGGACTTAACCCAAAAGAAAAAAGAACAGATTTTTCTTATCATATGTTTAAATGATCTGTTGCCAACATTATTTGTCTTCCTTCTTTGCATCTTTTAATCTTTAACCTCTAAGAACAAAGTAAAATGCCCAATATTAATAACTGCAATCCTACCTCTCCAGGAAGACCAAAGTTCAAGGCCATCCTGGACTATCTAGGGAGTTCCAGGTCAGTCTAGACTACATTGCAAAACCCTATGTATCTTGGAGGGCAAAAAAGGTTGCTATTTGAAATATTTCAAAATATTTTTATGACCATTCTTTTTCTTATGATGCTCTTCTTAATAATAACTACTAGTCAAGGATAATGGAGAACTTGGGAAGTGAGGGATTGACACATGTCATGTAGCCCAAGCTGGCCCCGAACTACTGATCCTTCTTCCCCACTTCCCAGGTGCTGGTATTACAAACATGTTCTACTGCGTTTGACTAGAAAGTTTGTATTTGGGATGTTTCTCTCTGAATTAATTTTGCTGGTGTGTGTGTGAGAGAGAAAGAGAGAGAGAGTGTGTGTGTGTGTGTATGTTTGACATATATTATTATTAAGAACTGACTACCAAAAAAAGGGCTCTTGAGACTGTAGAAATGGCCCAGTAGGTAAAATGCTTGCATCTATATAGCTGGATATGGCTGCACACACCTGTAATCCCAGCAATGGGGAGGCAAAGACTGGATCCCTGGGGCTTGCTAACCAACCAGTCTAGCCAAACCAGCAAACTCTAGCTTTAGTAAAAGACTCTTTCAAAAAATAAGGTGGGAAGATTAAACAAATTACCTGGTGTCAATCTCAAGGTTCCACCTACACCACTGTGGTGGTTTAAATGAGAATGCCCACTCCTCCCCCCCCCCCCAAGCTAGTGGAACTGTTTAGGAGGTGTGGACTTGTTGGAGGAGTTGTATCACTAAAGACAGACTTTGAGATTTCAAAGGACCATGCCATTCCTAGTTAGCTGTCTGCCTCCAGTTTATGGATAAGATGTAAACTCTTCAGCTACTGCTCCAGTGCCATGCATGCCTGCCCGCTTGCTGCCAGATCTCCATCATGATGTTCATGGACTCACCCTCTAAAACTGTAAGCAAGCCTCCAATTAAATGTTTTCTTTTATAAGTTGCCTTAGTCATAATATCCTGGTTTGTTGGTTTTTTGTTTTTGTTTTTTTTAGATGGGGTCTCTACATAGCCCTAGCTATCTTGAAACTATATAGATCATACTAGTTTTGAACTCACAGAGATTCCCCCTGCCTCTGCCTCTTGAGTGCTGGGATTAAAAGTGTGCACCACTGCACTGGACTGGTCATAATGTATCTTTATAGCAAAATTAAATAAATGAGTACTTTAATTAAATAAATGAATACTTTTTTGTTTTTGTTTTTCCAGACAGGGTTTCTCTGTGTAACAGCTCTGGCTATCCTAAAACTTGCTTTGTAGGCTATGCTGTCTCTGGCCTCCCAAGTGCTGGGATTAAGGGCATGCCCAACGCCACCGGCTAGGAATACTTTTTAAAGCATGCTTTTCATTGGTCATGGTGGTACACATGTAATCCTAGCACTCGAAGGCTAACAAAAGAGGATTATTCATTCTAGGGGAGCCTAAATCACATTGGAAAATCATGCCTCAAACAAAGTGTGTGTGTGTGTGTGTGTGTGTGTGTGTGTGTGTGTGTGTGTGTTTTGTAAAGAGCCACCTGAATTTCAATAAAAAATTATAAACTGAGGTTACAGGGGATGACTCAGTCAATAAAGCATCTATGAGGCATGAGAAACCAAGTTCCATATCCCCTCCATCTTTAACCTTATCACTTACCTGGGCCAGAAAATACATATCCCAGAAACTCAGTTGGCTAGCCAATCCAGCTAAATCGGCAAGGCCCAGGTTCAGTGATGGACCCTGTCTCAAATATAAGGTGAAAAATGATTTAAAAGACCCAAGGTTGTTATATAGCTTTTATACAAACATGTACTCATACACATGAATACATGTACACACAAAAATTTTTGTTTATCACAGGTATTTGTGTGTGTGTGTATGTGTGTATGTGTGTGATCAACCATATGCCACAGTGCTTTTGTGGAGATCAGTAAAGCTTTTAGCTCTTAACTTTCTTTTAATTTTGTGTATGGAGTCAGCAGATGACTCTGGGTTAAGGTTTTAACACAAAGCCTGACAACCTGAGTTGTTCTGTCCATGATAGAAGAGAACTGAGTCCCTCTTCTAGAGTCATCAAGTTGGCAGCACCAACCATCACTGTGGTGATATCTTGCTTGTACAAATAAAGCCTGTCTGAGGGTCAGAGATTGGAGCTTGCCATTAGCTAACCATAGAGGGCTGGAGGTCTGCATAGACAGGAAATAAGGTAGCTGGGCAGTAACAGGCTATTAAGCAGGAAGAAACAGGAAATTGCTGTCTTGTCTACTGAGACACCATGTAACCACAGAAGGAGTAATGGGTTCAGGCATTCTCCTGTAAGCCAAGATCGCATGGAAATACTTAGATTAATAGAAATGGGTTAATAATTTAGAGAGAGCTAGACAATAAGAAGCCTGAGCCACCTGCCAAACAGTTTATAATTAATATAAGCCTCTGTGTGTTTACTTGGGACTAAACAGCTGTGGGATCAGGTAGAACAGAAACTCAATGTACACATCACAGGTGCTTTCCAGTTCCAGAACCTGTGATATGCAGCAAGATCTTGACCAGCAATAACCATGAGCTGCTGTTATGTAACCAAGTTAAATTTGGTTTTATATTTACATATACACCATGAATCCATAAAAGATTATTAGACGAGGGCTTGTGGTCCTGAAAATCAAAATGATGCCAGAGGTGCCAATGTACATACATGCCACAACTTATATTCTAGGAAGTATGGAAATAAAGGCACTATCCAAAATAATGAAGCACTATAGGGAATTCTTAAATAAAATAATTGCATTCAAATTGTTATGTATCTTAAAAACAATCTCTAAAATTTATTGATTTGAGAAAAATGTTCACAAATTACAAAGCACACTTACCTTAATATTCATGGAAAGTATATTTGTAATCATTATTGAAATATCTTTTTGTGAATTTGTTTTAACATTTATTTGGTGTCAACAATTTAAGCCATTTATGATTCATTAACTAGCAAAGTTTACTATAAATCATCTAAGAAAACTACTTTAAAATCAACTAAACATTCTGATCCATGTAATCAGTGGTATGAAGAATTTTTCTTTTTAGAAACTTAAGATATAATTTATATACCTCCCATATAAAGTATATCGTTAAGATGAGTTTGCTGGCTTGAACCTACAATTTCAAGCCCGGCTTGGGCATCATAGTGAGACCAGGTCTCAGGACAAACTATGTATGATGATGCATGTCTGTTATTTCAGCACTGAAAACCACAGTCACACATTTCAGGCCATCCTGGGCTACACCATAAAACTTTTCAAAAACTTTTTAAAAATTACAGTTTAGTAGATTTTAGTATAGTCACAGTGTACAGTTACCACCATTCTAATAACATTTTGATCCTATATGTACACACACACATATGCGAGCTTGTGCACACACCTTCATTATTCATTAGTAACAGCCTTATTTTTTCTGAGCCAGAAACCACTAACCTGCATTCCCATCTGTATAGATTGCCTGATTCAGAACATTTCCTATAAATAGGATCATACAGCATGTTCTTTTGTGGCTGTCTCTTTTTGCTTTACATAATATTCTCAAGGTTTTATACATGTAATTTTTTGCTATATAAATAAAGTTTAAGATCTGTCTTTCCAAAAACACCTCAATAAAAACTCCTTTGCAATCTAACACTTAAAGGTAATTTGATTCATGAGATCATTTTTTTATTTCTCCTTTTTAACAGGTCAGCTTTGAAATTTATAAAACATGGAGAAAACTCAAGAGAAAGCTGAAAGAATTCTTCTAGAGCCCTATAGGTACTTACTTCAATTACCAGGTAACAAACAGTTCAGTTATTGTCTATATAGCATAGTTTTCAGAGAATGGTATTTATTTAAATGTTAGCAGCATAAAAGGTTAAACTTAAATGGTCTTGATACCTTCTATTTGAAGTAATATCATTAAAAAAGGAATTATTCACTGGGCAATGGTAGTGCACGCCTTTAGTCCCAGCACTTGAGAGGTAGGCGATCTCTGTGAGTTCTAGACAATGCTGAAATACAAGAGCTAGTTCTAGGACAGCCTCCAAAGCCACAGAGAAACCCTGCCTCAAAATAAAAAAGGAATTATTCAAAGAACTATACAATGAAAATGTTTCTGGGGACTGGAATGATGGCTCAGAGGTTAAGAACACTAGCTGCTCTTCAAGAGGTCCTAAGTTTGTTTTTTGTTGTTGTTGGTTTTGTTTTGTTTTTTTCTTTTGTTTGTTTTTTTAAGAATTGATTTTAAAAGAAATAAAACATTTCTGTTTTATTGAGACAGAATCTTGTTGATACATAGAATCATTAAGTAACCTAGAATTCATTAAGTAGCCCAGGCTGACCTGGAATTTGTGGTGAACCTTCTACCTACCTCTGCTTTCCAAATGCTAGGATTACATGTGTTCTGTGACCAATCCTAAAATGTTATTTCTTCTTTTAATTATGTGTCTGTGGGATGGTATGTGCACATGCATGCAAATGACTATGGTCAGAAGGGGATGTTACATTCTCTGGTGCTGGAGTTACAGCCAGTTATGAGCCTTCTGTAATGTAGGTGCTGGGAACCAAACCCAGGCTCTCTATAGGATCTTAACCCTTAACTCATTATTTTTGGAGGGGGTAGGAGGGTGGGGGACTGCAGGAGGTTGATACATGGTTTCTCTGTGTAGCTTTAGCGCCTGTCCTGGAACTCAGTCATAGACCAGGCTGGACTGAAACTCCTGCCTCTGCCTCCCAAGTGCTGTCTGGCTCTTAACTCATTCTTAATGTCTAAGCCATCTGTCCAACCCAACTCCTTTTTGGTTTTTTTTTTTTTACTCTCCTTAATTTATTTCTGTGACTTATCTGGAGCATAGAGAATCCTGGGGATAGATTTCAGGTCATTAGGCTTTGCCCTAATCACCTTTACCTCTGAAACTTTTTTTTTTTTTTTTTTTTTTTTTTTTTGAGTCAGAGTCTTACAGACCTCAAACTCACAGAGGTCCATCTCCCTTTGTTTTCCTAGTGCTGGGATTAAAGGTATGCATCACTGTACCCAGACTGAAACTTAACTTTTTTGTCTCTTTTTAAGCTTTTACTTTATGTGTATGGAGGTTTTGGCTCTGTGTGTGTGTGTGTGTGTGTTTATTCCTAGATTCCTAGTGCCTGAGGAAGCCAGGAGGTCAGTTCCCCTAGGACTGAAGTTACAGTTACAGTTCTGAGCCACCAAGTGAATGCTGGGAATCAAACCTGGAACTTCTGGAGGAGCAACAACTGCCCTTAACCACAGAGCCACCTCTCTAGCCTCTGAAACTTTACTTATGTATAACTATTTTCTTGAGCTCTGAATTTGCAATATTAGATGTGCATACAATATTTTTACTGAATGAACTGGTTGTAATTTTTAATCTACTATTGCTTTATGTTTAGGATAATTTAACTTCTACTGGCAGCTACTACCTACCTTTCTCCAGCTTTCCATGTGAAAATAAAATGCTTTTGGAAAGCCCTAGTCAACACAAAGAGGCTAGCACTTGTTTAACTGGTTTAACTGTAAACTGAAGTTACTGTACTTTCTAAAACCTTAATTTAAAGGAATGACAGATAATTTCATGAGGAAATTTATTGGCAAAATTCTTTGAAGTTTGTGTGTGACAGATAGTGCTCTTATTGTCCCCAAATAGATTGTCTTTGTTTTTCAGAAAAAGGAAGAAATTAAAGTGCATTTTCTAAAATGTCCATTCCATTCAATGTCCATTGCATCCCTAATTTAAAACTAAACCTCACTGAAGTGCTTTAGACTTTCCTGTCAGCCCTCATTTTAAAAAGATGTGCTTTTTTATCTTTATTTGTGTATGCATGTGTGTTGGGGTGGGAAGCATGTGTGCATGAGTGTGGGTGCCCACAGAGGACTAAAGAGGGTATTAGATATTCTGGAGCTGGAGTTATATATGGTTGTGAGCCACCTGACATGAGTGCTGGGAATCAAACTTGGGTCCTCTACAAGAACATCAAGAGCTCTTTAACACTGAGCGATCTCTTTACCCACCCAAGTATAGTTTGAATGACAAAATGAAAATGAATCCAGCCCCACTGTGTCCTTTACAATGGGGAATCTAAGAGGTATTCGGCAGGGAAGGAAATGGGCTTCTGTGACTGTCTTACTAAGTCTGATCAGTTTTGAAGCAAGTTTTTCAATTTTTCTTGTAGTTTCAATTTGGAAGATAATGAGATGGCATAGCCAGTAAAGGTGCTTATCACCATGCCTAAGACCTCACCTCCATCTCTAGGACCCACACACTCCTGCAAGCTGACTTCTCTGACCTGCACAAGTACACCATGAAATGCATATGCACGTACAAACACAGTTGAAAATGATTTTGAAATTACTTTTTAAGTAAAATAATGTTTTATTTGTCATGTCCTATGTTTTAATTGCAGGAAAACAGGTGAGAACCAAACTTTCACAGGCATTTAATCACTGGCTAAAAGTTCCAGAAGACAAACTACAGGTAACTAGACAGTCTGCTTTTTCTGTTTTGTCCTATTGTGAGTCAGATTCTGGACTTTGAATGTGCTAGGCAAGTGCTCTGCCACTGAGCCACACCCCAGCCCTTAGGAGATTTTCATCTTACTCTTCTCCCCCATTTAATCATCAAGGAATGAGTAAGTGCCATTTAAAAATACTCCATGATCCTTATTCTGTTAATGCTAATATAATATTTATATATGGAGGATGCTAAATATTAATTAGTTGTAAAAGCATAAGACAATTGAGACTTTGAAATTTTGGTAATATCATTTAGTACAACCTGTTCTGACTTATTATGTACCTTAGGAGCTACCTCTATGTCTAAAAAAAAAAATTCTGGGCTGGAGAGATGACTCTGAGGTTAATTAAGAGCATGTACTGCTCTAGCAGAATACCTAAGTTCAATTCCCAGCAATCACGGCAGGCACCTCACAACTGCCTATAACTCTAGATCCAGGGAATCAGATGTCTCTAGCCCACAAGGGCTTTTGTACTCACATGCATATACTCACACACTGAAACATACACAGATTAAAAATAGTAAGTCTTAAAAAGTTCTCTCTCTCTCTCTGTGTGTGTGTGTACAATAGTCTTTGTATGTATGTGTTTGTATACCTTTACATGTGTGTTATAATCAGAGATTTCTCTGTCTCTCTATGTCCCACAGCCACTTCTGAATAATTACACAGAAGCTTAATATTAATTACAAAATGTTTGGCCTATAGTTCGGGCTTATTACTAACTAGCTCTTGCATTTAAATTAACCCATTTCTTTTAATCCGTATATTGCCATATGGCCATGCTTTTACCGGTCTGGTGGCATCTTGGTTTTGGGTGGCTGACTCTTATCTCCCTTGACCCTACCCTTCTTTTTCCCTGTATTCAGTTTAGTTTTCCCACCTAGCTATTGTGCCTTACTATAGGACAAAGCAGCTTTTATTCTCAACCAATGAGAGCAACATACATTCACAACATTCAATAGGATATCCCATTTCTGCCTTTTTGTCTAATCAAAAAAGGAATGTTTCAACTTTAACATACTAAATTAGACAATAAAACAGTTATCAAGTAAGAATAACAGTTACAATATCTAATCTATATTTGACAAAATTGATATTAATTAATATTTAATTATTTATCCTGACTTGGTGAATTTAAAGTTTTATATGTAATTTACCTTATTATCATAACTAAGAAAAACTGTAATTATCTAGTCTTCAACTCCATCAAAGACCAGAGAAGGAAATAATATTATTACCTAATAAGCAGGGAGTGCAGACAAGTGATTTCCAAATACATAAGAAACAACAGAAACATCTGGCTGCCTGGACAGTCACCCAAGGTTCCTCTGCAACGTTAGGGCATCTCTCTTTGGCCTGACAGACTTTCCTATGAAGCAAAGAATTTTAAAGGACTGTCCTACCTTGTTTTGGCAAAGTTTGGCAGCTGCTTTATTTTGTTTCCTGCTGGTTCAGTTTGGATAATAACTGTCAGCAATTAAAGCAAGTGCAGTTTCTTTGCCCACATGGCTGATGTTTGCTATAAAGAGAACAAACTCCTCCATTCAGGGTTTCTTGGATATCCATCATCTTTTCAGGAGTATGTTATTAAAACATTTAAAATACCATATTTGATAGGTTTTGAATGTTTGAAGAATACCTGTCTATCTGAAATATATCTCTTAATAGATCTAGATAACCTAACATAACTTTAAGTTTGACTTAACTGTATTTTTCTAAATCTATATTCCTTATACAGTATATTTTTAATTGAGCTGTATAAACACAATACCTTAAACAAATAGAAATTACATTCAGCATAACAAAATTAACCTTAAATTTAGATCAATAAACTAAAATCTGTACCAATGTATATTTTGAGATTAATAGTTGTTTTTTAGATTAAAGTAGATTCAATAATCTACCCTTTTCCCCATTATATTAATATACCCTTTTTCCCTATAATTTCTATATTATATGCCCCTTTTTCTTTCTAGACCATGATTCCTGAATTTAATCTCCTTTGTTCAGGCTTATTACTAACTAGCTCTTTCATTTAAATTAACCCTATTAATCTATGTATCACCATGTGGCCATGGCTTTTACCAGTCTGCTGGCATCTTATTTCTAACGAAGTTGGCTCAAGTCTCCCTCAACTCTACCTACCCTTCTATCACCCTGTATTCAGTTTGGCGTTCCCAATTAGCAATATTCGGTCTTGCTATAGACCAAAGCAGCTTTTACTATTTATTATTAACCAATGAGAGCAACATGTATTCACAGTGTTCAGAAGGATTATCCCACAGCAGTATGTGTTGTATATGTGTGTTAGTGAAATTTTCTTTCTGTTTTGGTTGTTTCCCTCTAGATTATCATTGAAGTGACTGAAATGCTGCATAATGCCAGCTTACTCATTGATGATATTGAAGACAATTCAAAGCTCCGACGTGGTTTTCCAGTGGCTCATAGCATCTATGGAATCCCATCTGTCATCAATTCTGCCAATTATGTCTATTTCCTTGGCCTAGAAAAAGTCTTAACACTTGATCACCCAGATGCTGTGAAGCTTTTCACACGACAACTTTTGGAACTCCATCAGGGACAAGGCCTAGATATTTACTGGAGGGACACCTACACCTGTCCCACTGAGGAAGAATATAAAGCCATGGTGTTGCAGAAGACAGGTGGACTATTTGGACTAGCAGTAGGTCTCATGCAGTTGTTCTCTGATTACAAAGAAGATTTAAAGCCACTGCTTGATACACTTGGTCTCTTCTTCCAGATTAGAGATGATTATGCCAATCTACACTCCAAAGAATACAGTGAGAACAAAAGCTTCTGTGAAGACCTGACAGAAGGAAAGTTCTCATTCCCTACTATTCACGCCATTTGGTCAAGGCCAGAAAACACCCAGGTACAGAACATCCTGCGCCAAAGAACAGAAAATATAGATATTAAAAAATACTGTGTGCAGTACCTGGAGGATGTAGGTTCTTTTGAATATACTCGATACACTCTTAGAGAGCTGGAAGCTAAAGCCTACAAACAAATTGAGGCCTGTGGTGGGAACCCTGCACTAGTGGCTTTAGTGAAGCATTTAAGTAAGATGTTTACAGAAGAAAATGAATAATATTTGCCATTCTTGATTAGACTCAGTAGCTTCTTTCAATTGAAAGCGTGGAGTGGCTTCCTATTTATCTTTTCAAGTACTAGTCTCCAAACACCGAGTAAATGAGGGTGATGTGAGTGAAAGAGTTTCATTGTCAGAATCCCTTTGCATAAAAATACAAACGAGAGCTGGAGAGATGGCTCGGGTTAAGAGGCTGCTCTTCCTGAGGACCCAGGTTCAATTTCCACTGCCCACATAGAAGTTTATCACCATCTGTGACTCCAGTTCCAATGACCTAATGGCCTCTTCTGACCTTCGCAGGCAGCAGGCATGCACATAATACACAGACATACCTGTAGGCAAAACACTCATACACATAAGGTAGATTTTTTTTTTTTTTTTTTTTTTTTTTTTAAGCACAATTGAAAGTATCAGGAGCCACAAACACAGGGCTTAGAAATGTGAGGTGCTAAATGTAACCAACTCCCTAGTACCACAAGTGTTCCAGGTTTATGAATAAAAAAGACTTACCTTCCAAGAAATTTTCTGCTTCCTAACTGCTTGACGTGGATGGTTCCCAATTCATTGATGCTTCAGTTCAAAACAAAGACTTCCTAGACAAATCTCTTTAGGCCTAAAAACCAAAGAACTACTGTCTTTCCCTGAATGATACTGCTAAGAGTGTGTCATCCTTAACACCCCACAAGTTCAGGTTTTATACCAAGGAGGCTCCACTTAATGAAGGTCACATCCTGGTTCCGGTTTATTTTTCTCTGTGTGTGTGTGTGTATGTATGTGTGTGTGTGTCTGTGTGTGTGTGTGTGTCTGTGTGTGTGTGTGTGTCATGTGCTCCAAACTGAATAGTATCTGTGTATAATGTTCCTGTGAGAGAAAAAATATACAGAAAAAGTATTTTGTGGAACATAGCTTTAATCCTAGCAAGCCTGAGGTAGAGTCAGGGAGATCAGAAGTTCAAAGTTATTCTCCGCCATACGAGTTTGAGGCAGTCTGGACTATGAGGTTTTGTTTGTTGTTGTTGTTGTTGTTGTTTTGGTTTTTTTTGTTTTGTTTTGTTTTGTTTTCCTTGAGAAAGGTATCATTATACAATTATAGCTGGCCTCAAAGATCAAAGGATCTGCCAGCCTGACCTCTGCCTCCTGAGTGCTAGGATCAAAGATGTGTCTCACCATGCCTGACAAAGAATATATAAGTCATTTATTTCCTTGCCTAATCAAATTAAATTTGGTCTGGTACTAATTCATGATTCTCCTGTCATTTTGTTTTTGGGTTTTCTGGTTTTTTTGGTTTTGTTTGTTTTATTTTTGAGACAGAGTCTCTGTAGCTCTGACTGTCCTGGAACTCACTCGGTAGACCAGGCTGGTCTTGTACTCACAGAGATTCACATACTTCTGCCTCCTGAGTGCTGGCGTTAAAGGCTTGCACCACTACTGTCCAGCTTCTCTCATTCTTGTCTTGCTTTGTCAGTAACAAATAGTGAATTGAGGACTTCATAAGAGTCATTTTATCTATCTAATAATCAAAATTTCATTCTTTACTTAGTCTGTGGTCACAGCTGTTAATTCAGAAGAGAACCAGAACATAAAAATGAGTCACTCAACTCATTGAATACGATGATTTTATTTGTGCATGCCTTTAATCCCAGAACTTCGGATGCAGAAACAGGCAGATCTCCATGGAGGCCAGCCTGATCTACAGAGTTCCAGGACACCCAAAGCTATACAGAGAAATACTGTCATGGGGGGAAAAATTATTTACTTAGATTTGTACTACAGGAATGTTTTTCCTGCCTAAGAAAGTCTTCCAATATCCTCTTGGAGAGTTGGATTTTGCCATGTCAAAGGCTTTGTTGTCGTTGATATTTTTGTTTTGTTTTCCTAGAGGGGGGTTTCTCTTTTCTAACAATCCCCTGGCTGTCCTGGAACTCTACATAGACTACACTGACCTCTGCCTTCCACCTTGATCACTCTTTACTCATTAATTTATTTGTCATTAGAATGTGTGGGGATGCTGGTGTGTGCATGCAACAAAACATGGAGGTTAGAGGACTTGGAAGTCAGTTCTCTCCTACTCTGGGTTCCAGTGATCAAACTTAAGTTATCAAGTATACGTACGTAGCAAATGCTTTTACACTCTGAGCCATCTGGTCAGCCCCAACTTTATTTTTTGACACAGGGTCTTTCACTGAATCCAGAGCTCATTAGTTTGGCTTGTTTGCATAGTCAATGATCTCTGTGGATCTACCTTCTCCACCTCCCCAGCTTTGGGTTACAGGTGTGTGTCAGCACACTCTGTTTACATAGGTGCTGGGGTCTGAATTCAGGTCCTCCTACTTGTGTGACAGCTACTTTACCAATTGCAGCCCTCTGCCATCTTATTATTTATCCCTGTTCAGATACAAAACAAAAATCTTGGTCCAAAGAGGATAGAAGGAGCCTATTCTAAGCTAAATATGAGTGTCCATGCCCCAGCAACACAAAATCTTATTACCCTGAATGGCATGTTTCTGTGAAAGTGTTGTTAAACTTTAAAAAAATGCTTTTTATTAAATATATTTTATCTAGTGCATGTGTGTTATGGCATACATCTGGAGGCCAGGGCACAGCTTGTAGAAATCAGTTATCCTATCAATCTTGGGATTGAACCCAGATTTGGTAGCAGGTAACTTTACCTGCTGAGCCACCTTACCTATCCAGTTTTCATGTAGATGAAGTTTCTGTCCCACCTGGTCCCATAGCCCTTTAGCCCCAAATAAACACACAAAGACTTATAGTAATTATAAACTGTTTGGCTGATGACTCAGGCTTCTTGTTGTCTAGCTCTCTCTTAATTATTAACCCATTTTCATTAATCTAAGTATTTCCACATGGTCTGAGAAAAATGTCCGGATCTGTTACTCCTTCAGTGGCTATGTGGTGTCTCTGGCTGCTCCTCTGCGTCCTCCCCCAGATTTTTCCCTGTCTGGTAGCCTCGCCTATACTGCCTGCCTGTTTACAGACCTGTTTACTGTTTTATTCATCAACCAATAAGAGAAACATGTATACAGAAGGACATCCCCCCGTCAGTTTCATAAGCTTTTATAGTCAGAGAACAAAAGAAAGTCGTGAATCAGGGCTGGTGAAATGACACAGCTGTTCTTTCAGAGGACCCAGGCTCAATTCCCAGCACTCACATGGCAGCTCACACCTGACACCCTCACATAGTCGTACATGCAGGGAAAATACTAATACAAATGAAATATAATAGATTAAAAATAAGAAGAATGTCATGAATTTACTAAATCTGTTATTAGAGACATAAGGTAGGCCACAGCATCAGGAAAAGGGAGTGTCTTCTATGAATTTCAGGTGCTACCTTATAACATCCTCAGCTATAGGGTCACTCCAGGATGGTGCCCTGTAAGTTCAACAGTGCATTCCAAGTAGGGTGAGTGACACCTAACCCCCGGTATTTCAAAAATAAAACCAGAACAATTAGTTTGAGGCTAGCATGTACTATATAGCAAGTCCAAGGTCAGATATATATATATATATATATATATAGAGAGAGAGAGAGAGAGAGAGAGAGAGAGAGAGAGAGACCCTGTCTCTAAGAATCAAAAAAAAAAAAAAAAAAAAAAAAAAAAACAATGTATTCCACAAGTTTTACTTGGTAGTTACAAAGAAGTTAAGTCACATTTAGAGGTTGGTAGAAATGGTTATTCAGTGATCTAAAGATAACCCAAGATATTTTGGCTCTCAATCTGTAGTAGCCCCTCCTTCCACAATTGTACTAGTATGTTTCTCCTACTGCCCTGGACCCACTGCCATGCCGGCCCCAAATAACACACTCTCCATCTTGACTCCTCCTTACTACTTCCTCTTTCCTCCTTGTCTCCTAGTCCCACCTATCTTCCTTTCCTATTGGCCAACGATGCTTTATTCATTAACCAGTATGAGAAACATATATACATAATGACATCTCCCATCACATTTCTATTAATCTAAGTATTTCTACGTGGTCTCCTCTTATCGGAGAGTGGGGCTAAGACCTCTGTTCTCTTAGGTCTCTACATGCTGACTCCTCCCTACTACTTCCTCGAATCCTCCTTGTCTCCTAGTCCTGCCTATCTTGTTTTCCTATTGGCCAGCAGTGCTTTATTCATTAACCAGTATGAGAAACATATTTACAGAATGACATCTCCCATCAACTCCTCTTTTCTGTCTAAATAAAAAGAAGGGTTTTAACCTTAACATAGCAAAATATATACAACATCTCCCATCACACAATCACCTATTCTAGTTAGTACACCAGTGTGTAGATTCTTCAGTACAGACACATGTTCTTCAAATACTTCAGTCCACAGCCGGATCCTTCCCATGTGGCAGCAGTTCACTTGCTGAGTTCCCATCCCCAAGCTTTGCTGAAGTTGGTTGTCTTCTTCCATCTTGTCACTATGGCACTTAGCTTAACCTGAAATGATATTGTGTGTGTGGCTGATACATTACCCATACATACTTTTTTGTGTATAGGATATTGTGATGTTGCCTGCCTTGTGTAAGTGTTACAGCTCTGAAGGGAAAGGTATCCTGGCAGTCAGGAACCAAGAAATACCTCAAAGTCACACTGCACAGCAAGCATCACAGGAGACTTAATTGAAAAGACAAGAGAGTGAAGGACTCTGCCCAGGAGAGAGCCAGCAAAGAATGGAGCAGGAGGTGGGCTTTATATAGGGTTTCTTGGGGGACTGAGTTTGAGTTTTCCAGTGTGGCCTGGGATTGGAGGGATTTTGTGGCCTGATTTTTTTTTTTTTTTCCCTGTAGGGCAGAGCCTGGCCACTTTCCCACCTCAAGGGACTGGGAAAGGCTCTTGTGGTCCTTAACAAAGTCTGGAGAATGGGGCCTAACTGCTTTGACCTTGAGAGGTTTACCCCTTGAACTTGAAATGATCTTCCTGCTTTTACCTGCTGAATCCTAGGATTACAGGTTTGCAGCACCAGCCTGGTTTATGCAGTGCTGAAGTGCTGAGGCTCTAACCCACAATTCTGTATGTGTTAAGCATTCTGCATCTCCAACCCAATATATTTGTGTGTGTGTGTGTGTGTGTGTGTGTGTGTGTGTGTGTGTGTGTGTTGTGTGTTCCTATTTGTGTGGGAACACATGTGTGAGTATGCATGTGTGTGCATGTCATGCCAAGGGTCAATGGTGGGTATCTTCCTTGTACTGTTCCCCACATTATCACATCATCATTTTGACAGTTCTAAGGATTAAGCTTAAGGACTTATTAATACAAAGCTAGCACTATTTCTCTGAGTTACAGACCAGCCTTTACATCTTATTCTATGTTTTATATTCATTTATTTTATGTGTGGGTGTTTTGCCTGCATGTATGTGTGTGTACCACGTGCATGCTCGATACCCATGGATTTTAGAAGAGAATGTCAGGTCAGTTGCCTGGAACTGGTGGTGAGCTTCCATGTGGGTATTAGGAGTTGACCCTGGGTGCCCTACTACAGCACCAAGAGGTTTTAGCTGCTAAACCTTTC